ATATAAATTGTATCTAATTCTTGTTCTTTTTTTCAGGTATTTCCAAGCCATGGCTCTACAAAGAAGTTCATCGCCAACCCCCACTGTGGAGACTTTCCCACAAGAGGAACTCGAGTCCACCAGCAGGGAATATAGAAATTTCGTCAAAAATTTCGAGAAGCCCGAAGATTTGATGAAAATAATGACAGTTAGAGGAGTTGGAAGGACGCGCCTCCCAGGAATTATTTCTGGAAATCTGAGGCTTAGGCAGACGCTAATGGGGAGAAATCGACCACAGGTGTGATCTGGTATATGTTACATTTGTTTTAGACTAAATATTTGATGTATTCATTTTGTTTGTAAATATATATTGTTTTTTTTTTATAAATTTTATAAATTAAATTATTTAACTACCGTAATCTTTCATTTTCCTTAATTCATGTACCCAGTGACGAAAATCAACAACAATACGGTGTACAAAAATATATGTTTTATAAAGTGTCATTATCATCACACGAGTTCAAATTTGTAAAACGAATTGTTGTGGCGACTTTATTTACACAGCCATCAAAGATAACACAGTGTATGTAAAAAACCAATTAGTGTAACGATCATTTTATTTTATTTATAGTTGTGTATCAGACATGTTTTGCACCTACTAGCTCAATCTATTCAATCAACAAAACAAAATTAATTTTATCTAATGGTATTTGCTCTTTCGTGGTCAAGTTTACTACACCAACGAGAAATTTTTCGATTAATTCCATTTAAGTCAAGAAATAACAAATTAGATTTAAGAAAAAAAACCAAAAGAGAATAGTTATTGATTTAAGTGTGAATCTTAACAATTACTATGCTTAGTTTAGATATAATCAGTGATTGGAAGAATTGCTCACAAAAAGTAATTCATTACAATTACTCATTACTTCAAAAGTAACTGAATTACTTGTAATGGAATTACTTCCGCCACTGCCTACGGCTAACCCCCTCTCCTTGCGGACAATTTTTATCAAAGAAGAACACATGGATTTAAAGCTTGGAAGCTTGTCAAACGTTTCCACAGTAGATTTTCCCATAGTGGTGTGAACGGAGAGGCATATTATCCACCAACCCCTGCCGAATATGCCTGTAAGTCAGTGTTTCCGTTGCCTTTATGAGGAACGAAATTAGATTTATAAGTCAAAAAACCTTATACTTAGTGTACGTATTACACCGTAATATAATCAGCTTATATTTCCCACCAGCCCCTCCAGTATACGGTGTAGCGAAATCGGGACGCGTACCGAGAGCCGAGTGTTAATCCGCGATCGCCGCGCCGACGTGGCAGAAGTAGAGGATTCTTACTTGAAGCCTGGAAGAGCGATGTGCTGTGGCCGTGAAAAGAGTTTTTGGAGTTTGAATTTTAGTAGTGCAGAGTCCTGAAAGAACCGACCATCGTAAGTACCGTTTTGGGTTTTCTGCCTGTGTGCGTACAGTTTTTAAATCGTCGCCCTCGAGCGAAAAACCTTACCTCCGTCACCCGTTTTTTTATCGTCAAAAGTCGAAACCGACGAGCAGGCGCCGTGTTTCGCCACCGCTCTCTTATTCCGGATCGCCGTACCGTCTCCACGCTATTTTTTCCCGTTCCAGGGTAGTCGTTCCCCAGGTCCGGGAGGAGCCCATCCCGAAGGGAGTCGCCGTCGAGGAGGGAATGACCGTGCCGGACGTTTTGTTCGTTTTGTTTATTTAATTTGTCTTGTAGTTATTTAAGATTAGGCGTAAGATTTATTTATTTTAGATGTGTAGCTGGTGGCAGGGAATAAATCTGATTTATTGTAAAATGTTTTTTCGTTTTATTGTATTTTTTTTGTTTTTCGTGGGCACTCACCACCTGCAGAACCGTGTCTCCGATTTGAGGGCAAGCCCGGTGCTCCTCAGTGGTGTGAAGGTGTCCGCATAAGCCTAGGTCGACTAAACGTGTTTATATTTCAGCGGCGCTAGTCCGTCTATAGTCTGGCACCGAGGCACGCCTCCCCCACGCGTTATGGGCGAAATTCCTGACAACCCCACGGTAATTTCGTCGCAGTAGTCCAGAGCGAACTAAGCTTTAAAAAAATGCAATGTGTTTAATTTATGTAATGGGGAACTAGATTCACAATGTAGTCTTAATAGATTAAGTTTGATTTATTGAATTTACGATGGTGTAAATGGTTGGATGTATTTGACATAACTATGGCGTAATTAAAGGTTGTAGCTTTGTTCCCATTTTAATACTTATTTAGTTATCTGTCAAAATTCCCGAAGTGCGCGAATCTAAGTTTTCCGCTTGCCGCCTTACGGTGATGGAGTATACCCCCGTATTAACGAGACCTTGTGTTAGTTATATGAGGCACGTGGAACGAAAACACGAACAACAGTTAACACATTTATTATACAAACACAAGTAAATATACATTACAGTGAACTTAGACACACGCGCGCGGACCACCGACCAGCCATTAGTGTGACGTTCGTCTTCGTCATGGCTTCGTCATCGCTGGCGCAGTCGCGCAGACTACCGCCGAACACGCTCTCCATCTATGTTTCCTAACACCTTCTAACCCTCATGAGTATTGGAATGGCTTGTATGGAGCTGTATCACTTTTTTTTACAAAACTGTCGAAAGTAACACAACGTAAAAACACTTAGAAGAGTAAAATTTAGCATCATAAGTATTTAGTTAAAAAAATATTATTCTTAATGGTTATCCATGAAACGAATAGTTTATATTGATATATACTTGTACACAAAACATTAATAAAATAATTCTTCCAAAGACGGTGGTTTCTCGCTCGTCTGGCTCCATTTTCAATGCAGCTTCACTTGACTCATTTTTAACTTGTTCCTAAGCAGATGTTTATTCATAAATAGAAGGGTAATCTTATTGCACCCTTAAAAGTTAAGTCACCAGCTCTATTTACTAGGACTATAACTCACCACACCGACCAGTATTTCTTAAAAAAGGTCAGACATTAATTATTAAATTAAATTTCAAGCAGTAATTATGTCAGTGGTCGATGTTAATGACCCATTCCGCATAGGTTTCAGTTCTTCCGATCCGATCACTGGTTTCACTTCATATGACATCTACTTTGATCTGGCCTAATCTGCGCTAGTCTAACTCTAGTAATATGATCAGACTATTCGAGAAGCCTTCCAACAGTGTGTCGTGTTCGTTCTGAATTTTGACAGTTGTACTAAATGGTCTCCTTGTGTTTAATGTACAATAACATCCTTATATCTGTATAAGAATAAGCAAAAGCGTGATTACGACATTGAGCATCGTTCCAACAATGGATCTCTCAACAGTAAAAAATCCAGCAGCTGAAAAATGTGGATGATACCTCACTATTGTCTTAATACAGATACGAAGATTTTGTTGTCTTCTCGTCATGGACGACGTTTCCAGATTATATAATATAATTAATATTTTTTCATATTCAGTTGCAACCGAATGAAGATGGAACGTCACACTCAATAAACAAATCTTGAAATAATAAGTGTTAACTTGAGGTCCACCTACGTACTAAAATTAACTTACCCACAACAATAATAGTAACGTTAATTCAGTGGTAACAAATAACTGAAACAATGTGGTGGAATTGAAAAAACTGGCGTAGCCACCTCTCACCAAATTATTCAAATACCCAAGGGTACTACTTCCGACAGACAGAAAACAAAATAGAAGGGGCCATCCGAAAATGTCATTAAAGATAGCAACAAGTTCTTCTAACAGAAAAAGTTTATAATTCACACTTTTAAAAGTACTGTTGTACGAACGTCTTGTTGCTGTACGTAGCAAAGTGGTTTGAGTTTGATATAGTTTCAGAATTTCTTGTGCCCCAGCATAAGTCAACAACAAATAATACAGTTGATTAGAAATTTGAAATATTGCGACAAAATAGACATTCAGAACCTCTGTGCCGATAATAACCAACCAGCAATAGGTATTAACAATAAGAATGACGAAAAAGATGAAGATTGCCAAAATGATGTAGTAATGGTAGTTATCACTGTAAACATTAGGGTGAACAGTATTTAGTTTTTTTAGAAATAAATGCCATTGATGTTTCTTAAATAAGGATGCAATAACAAGCGTATATGAACCAAAGCTGAACTGAACAATCTCGTTTAAAATACCCAAAACCAAATCGACGTTTTTCATTGTGTCTATGTCTTTGTAAATGTAACATACGTTGTACATAAATGCTGTTGAATACAGTACGAATAAACAAATTCGGTAGTATCTTTCATTTGCTGAATGATGGTGACTTCCTGTGGGAGTTGGTGCTATTTTAATGAAGCTGCCAAAGCTGAACAATATCTTGACTGTTTTCATACCAAAAGAAAATAATATGTAACCACTATTTTGTCTTTCAGAATTAACTAAATATTTTGTAATAATTTTGGAATTAAGAATTACACAAACACACAATTTGTTCAGTTCTAGAATTTCCGCACACAACAAACCACTAGAAATAATTAGCCTTGTTGTACGTTTATACACTAGCTGCTTCAGGTTTTATTAATTATAATCAGTTGCTGCTAATTTGTGCAGAGTTCGATGAAACTATGTTGCTCAGTAGAAGAGTATTGAAGTGCATTTTCAATACTGAATATTTAATGGTGTTGTCAATTGTGTTATTTTTTGGTGCATTTCCAAGCATAACTAAGTTGCACTTAGGAAGAGGTAAAGAATAAAATTCATTTTCATTTTAACAATTTATATTACAGAAACTAAAGCAGTAAACACAATGCTGCTAACAATTACCAAACAAAGTTTAAATCAATAAAACTACTAGAATGGATTCAAATAAACGTATTATGTTGACCACTTGTTTGTCTCCAAGTTAACCTTCCAGATCTCGCGCGTGGACTGACACTCCGCAGGGATCTCTTTTTGTTGATATTTAAAAAATTCCCCACTCCTTACAGCAACGCCGCCGTGTACCCTCTTGTTTTAGCCTATTAACAGCTAGTATGCAGCTGCAGTTCAGTTAGTGTGCATCTTCAACATTTTTTTGTCATTACGTACGATCTGTCACGTTTCACTTCTTCTACTGGAATTTTTTATATTACGAAGTGCATTTGAAGCGGTAAATGGTTCTTTTTAGTTATAGCATCTTCAACTTATTTCGTTAACAAACTTTTCTATAGATGTATTATTACGAGAATGAGCAGAAACGTTTACACAATCTTATGGAACAATGTTTGTTAACCAATATGTGGAAGCTGTAGTACCCTCACTTTATTCTCCCCACCCTCCACCCTAGAATAAGGTAGCGAGAGAGTAAGGGAAACGGGGTGGGGTGAATAGGGTGGGGGAGCTACAACTTGTATATAAGGGTGAAACAAACCAACGACGTTTAGTCTTAATGTTGACGTCACAGCGCTAACATACCAGACACTTTCATCACCACAAAACTGTAAGTATACCTTTTGTTTATTTATATAAATTGTTTCTAATTCTTGCTTTTTTTTTCAGATTTTTCCAAGACATGGCCCTACAAAGAAGTTCATCGCCAACCCGCAATGTGGAGACTTTCTCAAAAGAGGAACTCGAGTCCACCAGCAGGGAATATAGAAATTTCGTCAAAAATTTCGAGAAGCCCGAGGATTTGACGAAAATAATGACAGTTAGAGGAGTTGGAAGGATGCACCTCCCAGGAATTATTTCTGGAAATTTGAGGCTCAGACGGACATTAATGGGGAGACATCGACCACAGGAGTGATTTGTATGTTACATTTGTTTTAGACTAGATATTTGATATATTCATTTTGTTTGTACATATATATTGTTATTTTGTTTTATAAATTTTAGATTATTATAAATTAAATTATTTAACTACCGTAGTGTGTCATTTTCCTTAATTCCTGCACTCAATAACGAAATCTTCAAAATTACATATTTAGGCAGAATTTCCCGCACATCTTAACTCGAACATTCAGATAAAATCAGTTTATTATTATTATTATTATTAGTTAATGCGACCGGGCGGAGGCCGAGGTCTGTTATGCCTGGCTAAAGATTAGCAATATACAGGTTAGTTGTTGTGAAATCTACAGGAGTGGGCATCATATCTAACTTTAAAACTCGCAGTTGACTGACTGCCAACAATTGCTTGGGGTAGCGAGTTCCAATCGTGGAAAGTAAGATGTCCGTTGGAGCACAGGAGTCCGTCCATGCGGAATTTGAAAATTCCAACATAGGTCTTATATAGGTTTTTTACAACTTCAAGAATACCATGGAAATAATTTTACAAAAAACTTTACTTAGAAGAAACAACATGGACCTGGCCCTTCTGGTAACATGAACAACCTGATTTGACCACGACAGGTCAGAACTCACTAATACTCCCAGATCACGACAACAGTCAGATTTGTGAATTCAGTACCATGAATATAGTATGAAACTTTTGGGTTCTTCTTACCAATGTAAAGAACTTCACATTTATCTATGTTAAGTGGAAGCAGCCAATCAGTGGACCATTTATATATTGCAAGAAAATCTTTTTTGAGAAGCATAGCATTAGAACTATTGTTGTCAGTGGCGGCTCGTGACTGTCTGATGTGGTGAGGCGATGATAGAAGTTTGACAATAATAGTAATATTACTTGGTCTTACTAGTTAGTAATGATAGAAGTCTTGCCTGAATACCGGTCATTCCCGGGTCAGTGGTAGGTCCTAATAATAATAATAATAATAATAATAACACCCATAACACATTGAATCAACAATGTTTTTACAAGTCAAAATTTTGTTGAAAGTAGCACTTTCTTGGAGGGATTCGGGAATAGTTGTTGTGTTCTTTTTCTAAACATTTTAAGCCCATGAAATTTTTAATATGTACTTTGGAACTTTCATGGAACTTTGCACTTCGGATGAAATTCGTTAAATCGTTGTATCCCGGGATGTTGTGTAAATATTACGGCAGAGCCATTTATATGTTTCGTAGGTACCAAGTTGATTTAAATGACTTGGAGTACTGACGACTCTGTCGCTTATCAATGGAAGTTAAATGAATTAACGGTTTTGACTGCTCGATATTTAGCAAAATTTGCCGACGTTCTAGCTCGGTTCGCCGTGAAAACGGCGTTTCAAGAAGCAACATGACGATGTCGTACTCGGGATTCATTTTTCACTCACCTGTACCTATGAAAGAGACAATAACACAAAACACCAACACGTGGGTTTTTATTCACGTTCATGCTAATTACCCACGCACCCCGCAACCCTATCGTTCTGTAAAATAAATGGAAACATGGTTTAATGAGTACGCCGAAATTGGCCGAGAAGCACCGAAGATATCGCCTCAGTTCCGAACGAACGCATGTATAGGAGTATAGGAGCTGAGCCATCGAAATCCGTGTCTGTGATTGGGCTTCGCTGGTTCAAGTGAACCGACGTTATGGCCGCTTCAGTTAAAGAACTAGGGGCATAAATCGTACGGTATTCAACGGAAAATATCAGCAGGAAGCGTAAAAAATAAAAAATCTTGTACAGATTTCCCATTTCAACATATTTTTGTAACTAATGCATTGAAAACTCTTTTTTAATTATAAATTAAGTCAATCTGTTCTTAAGATATTATGCTGTGAGGCGCCGCCTCACTTGCCTCATCTGACGAGCCGCCACTGATTGTTGTATAACTTAATGTCGTCTGCATATACTGCAAACTGCGACTTAATTGTATTCTTTAGATCTGCTGTATATGCTACAAAAGCAAAGAACCTAAGACAGAACCCTGCGGGACTCCACTCAACATTTACACTGGTCGACTGAAAGAACTGCCCACTTTAATACGAAATATACGATTGCTGAGAAAAGAATTAATCCAACGCCAAAGCTTACCTGATATGACAAAATAAAGAAAATTGGAAAGTTCGAAGCAGCAGCGAGGGCAAATTTCTGGGAAGAAGAACAAAAAGTTACAGCTTTGGTGATACCTTTGCGAGATGCAGCGTTAGAGATACTCCAAACTCTGTCTGAAAAAGATAGAAATAGAAATAGTGCCCTAACGGCTGCTCTAGAACTTCAATTTGGGGACGAACATCTGAGACAATTTTTTGCAGCGCAAGTGAACAGAAGAACCCAGAAAGTTGGAGAATCCCTTCAAGAATTTGAAGCAGATATCAAGAGGTTGATATATCTTGCATACTCCGCCGCACCACCAACTTTTCAAGAGAAGCTTGCGACAGAAACCTTCGTAAATGGCATTCGCGACGTTGAAGTTAAGAAGATCCTACAACTATCAAGGTATCAGACATCATCTGAGACCTTGATTCGTGCACAAATGGATGATACATCTCAAAGATTTGAGAATGGTAGTTATGCCTCGTAAGAGAAGCCTAGAATGGTATAGGTAGGGACGCGATTGTCGTGCTCGATCACCAGCTCCGAGGAGAAGCACACAACAGAGATCTCCTCAACGAAATGTGCAGAAAAACTGAAAACATCCAGTACTTTGGGGGATGTGTTGGCTGGTAAGAATAAAACCCCCAGGGAAGTGAAAATAGGAAGTTTTACCAAAGGTAGTAGTTCAACTGCACCGGGAAAGATTAATGGGTCTTGCGTGGCAATCACGATCGATATTAGCACTGAAGTCTCCATACTGTGTAGAGGACCCTTAAGAACTAAAGCTCTAAAGAGGATGCCCGAAACAATCAGATTGAAGACCGTAACTGGAGAGTCGACGCCAGTCATGGGTTAAGCAGAGGTAGAAACCGGCGTTGGTCAGCTGAAGATAAAACATCGGGCTCTCGTGGCTAACATTGAAGACGACTTTACTTTGGGAATGGATTTGATTAGCTGTCATGAATTGACGGTCAATCCAGTGGAGAAAGTCATAATGCTTTTTGGACTGCGTAATGCTCCGGCTACTTTTAAGAGACTAATAGAGATGCTATTACAAGGGCTAACATGGAAAACATGTTTGGTTTATTTAGACGACATGATGGTAATGGGAAACACATTTGAGGAGGACTTGGCCTACCTAGAAAAAGTATTAGTCGGATGAAGGAGGCAAACTTGAAGCTGAGTCCGAAGAAATACCTCCTCTTCCACAAAAGAAGTAGAATTTCTGGGGCATACTGTTTCGGCAAACGGGGTTAAGACGACCGGGACGAAAATCAGTACAATCCGCGATTGGCCGCGACCAAGAGATAAGCACGAAGTCCGAAGTTTCCTGGGATTGTGCACGTACTACAGAAAGTTTGTCAACGGGTTTGCTGATATTGTTGCTCCCCTGCACACACTGACGGATTTGAAGACTCAGTTTAATTGGACTGCTGAATGTGAGGCAGCCTTCCAAAGATTGAAGAATGCCTCTAATCCTATTGTATCCTATGCGCAATCATCGGGAATGTTCATATTGGACACAGACGCGAGCAACAATGGAATCGGTGCTGTATTGTGACAAGTGCAGCACAAGAAAGGAAAAATCATCGAGTACTTCAGCAACTCTACTTTCAAAACCCGAGAAGAACTACTGTGCTACGAGGAAGGATTTGCTGACGATTGTAAGGGCTGTTGAACATTTCGACAAATATCTCTATGGACGCGAATTCCTGATTAGGACCGATCACGCAGCCCTCATATAGCTCCTCCAGATGAAGAATCCGAAAGGACAAGTGGCTATATGGCTTGAACGACTCCAACAGTATCACTTCAAAATTCGACACAGGAATGGTAAGCCCCACAATAATGCAGACTCTTTGTCGAGAAGACCATGTAAGAACTGCAAACACTCACAGAAGATCGAGTAGCGTGAAACGTCGTTCAATTGTGGGAGGGCTCAGTGGGACGCCTTGCGTGTCGAGAACGGGTTGCTAAAGCGAGCTTGGGGGAGTCCGGTTGGGAAACATACCACCATGCAATTGGTGGTTCCGGCCACCAGAATCAAGGAAGTACTTCTGGAGATTCATAATGAGGGTTCCGGTGCTCATTTTGGAATCAACAAGATGCTTTCTAAAGTCAGGGAGAGATTTTACTAGGTCCTTTGCCGAGAAGATGTCGAGAGCTGATGCAAGAAATATATACCCTTTGCGGCGGTCAAGGGAACGAGGACTAGAGAGAAAGGGCCGATGCAACAATACAACATCGGTTCCCCGTTAGAAATAATTGCAGTGGACATAGCAGATCCTTTCCCGGTAACCGAGGACGGGGATAAATACATAATGGTCGTCAGCGATTATTTCAGTAAATGGCCTATACCTTATGCCATACCGAGCCAAGAAGCCAGGACGGTTGCAAAAATGCTGATTGACAATTGGATTAGCAGGTTTGGGGTCCTAACGGAATTACATTCGGACCAAGGCAGAAACTTCGAGTCAAACTTATTCCAAATGGGTTACTGAAGTCCTACGGAAGACACGGACAATGCCGTTGTGCCCACAGTCAGATGGAATTGTGGAACGGTACCATGGAA